ATTATGGTCGAATTCGAAATGCGTGCTGCATTGGATAAAGAACTATTCTAAGTTATGCCTAAAATTCATCCAGAATAGAGTCGAAGAAATTCGAAAGGCGAAATTTAATTTTCGTTACATACCTGGCAATCAAAACCCAATGGACGTTGCTACAAGAGGACTTTCTCCTATCGATCTCATGAAATTTAATTCGTGGTGGTATGAACTATCTTGGCTAAAAGGAGAGGAAAACGAATGGCCACAATGTGAATTCAAGCAGAAAAGCAGCATAATGACGAAGAAAATCAGTGGATTAATGCTAATTTGATTACACAAATGGCCAAGAAACAATCATTTTCGTTCATAGATGCAAGCCGATTCAGTAAATGGTCTAAACTAATAAGGGTATTCATTGACTTGATCATTTCAAAAATAACTCTTCTCTGTCGAAGACCACACTCAAGGCCTGCTTCGTCTCGTACAACTCGATCTTTGACTAACGATTTAAATAAACTTTAATTATCAATTCTCCTAATTTCATTACTAAATAACATTATATTATAATTGCTATTTCTTCTTTGCTATTGAATAAACTTTTTTTTTCCTGCTATTCAACACATTCAAACGAAAATTTTCACGACAAAAGGTAAATTCCCCAACCTTTTTTTTTACCTGCGCTAAATATAGGTAATGTTACCCAAATAATATCTCTGCGTGATAAGGGCATACTGTCCCCAAGTAGTGTTCAAACAAAAAAAAGAAATGTAAATTGACAATTGCACTCAAAGATAATGGATAAATATCCATTTATTATTGTATATACTCATAAATTATTTACACATTTTAATTGGATTTACATTCATTTGAAATTCATTTCGTTTCATTTCCATTTATACCTTAAATATCACTGAAAGGGAGAGAGAGAGAGAAAGAAAGAAAAGGTACCATACTTATGAAGAATAAAATGGACAAATATTATTGTCACAATATCATGAATAAAGCATGTATTGTTGATTGAAATTGTTTACATAATTCTGTTTGATTAATCATTAGATGGGAAAAATCGAAACGAAGTGGCAAAGGAAATTATTTTGTTAAGGGTTTTTTTTTCTAGAGAAATTACAAACGACACTTTCTCCTCTTTCTCTTTTCCTTTTTTCTCTCTTTTTTTTCTTTTCTTTTTTTTTGTGTGAGGACCTAAATAATACTTTTTGTTATAATTTCAAATTCAATTCAAAACTTTATGATCATATCATTAAGGTTAGCTTTTGAATATATGCTTAGTTTAGTTTGGAAATTTTGAAATTCTCATTTTCAATCATTAATTATCATTCAAAACAAATTAGAATTTTTTAATGAATCCTTTTTAAGATATGATGAAATAAATATTTCTTTTACTTTTCAATCTTTTCAACAACTTTTTTCAATCTTCATAATACACTGAGGAAATCGGTAGTACATTTTTCCCGCTTGCAATCATTTTCATTTTCATTCATACTATTTTTTGTATATTGCATGAAAATCTCATTCTTATTGACTATTTCATAATCAATAGAAAGTTTTTAGATATGCAAAAATTTTTATATTAAAAATTAAATTTTGAATTGGAGTAATTTTTACTATTTTATCCAATAAGTGTTAACTTTTTTTTTCGTCTATTAGTAGGATAGCGTAATCGATGTTAAAATGAGAT